GCCGCCGCCGTGCGATTTCTGTTCTTATCCTGAAGCAAAGTTCTTAACCTGAGGTATTATTTCTGGGTTAGCGGAGTCTGTAACCTGAAGCATACGTAACCCGAGTTGCTTTGGAAGACGATAATCAGGCACCCGCACAACATGACCCGTGCAACGAAGTTGATGTTGAAGAATCATTGCTTTGACACTGTTGAACTTTGCTTCAACACTGGCGAGTTCAGCAACTGAACCTCTCTGTTGCGGCAATTGCCTCATCAGGTGCACACCTAGGAGTAGCTGAGAGACGTCGTAGGACCTTTTCCTAACTTGTAAGTGTGCTTTTGACAACAAAGAGTTAATTCCTCTCCCTGGACATTCCTGGGATCTTCTGCATGCAAAGCAGATGCTCTTTGCCTGCCAGGCAGTGTAGATAATACTGATTTAGATGGACCGATTGCCTAAACTCGCTAAACTTCCTGTGCTGCTCCTCTCCAATCAGAAATGGATGCTCAGATACTTATTTATCGTCTGCTGGTGGCAATGGATCTGACACTTCTCTAGATACAGCACTGGATTTCTTTCTGCGATTAAAACATAAAAAGAATGGCACATACAGTTGACTAGATCCTTGTATTACTGTATGCCTGATGCTCACTCCCTTTGTATTTGGGAACCTGTCACTTTCCATTACTCACCCTTCTTTATTACTTGGAGAGAAGCACGCAGTAATCTTAAAACCGAAGCATCTCAGCCCGAGATGTCTTGTATTATTTTTTTAAGGGTGGAAAATAAAACCCAGCTTTACAGTTGCAATAAAAATATGATTCTCTACAGGTATATAAAAGAAAACAAAAAAGGGGAGGTTTCACTGCCCATCAGAGGCAATTAGATCTCAAAGTACTTCATAACGACTAAGTTAGAGCAGATCCGCAATAAAAGATCTGTGGCCCTGAGCATCTTGCACAACATAGCCCTTCTCTTTTGGAAGCGACTTGCTATTCTAAAACCTCTGTGGAGGAAAATGTAGCAGCTTGCTTAGTTGCCTGAGGGATTAAGGACTGAACATGAACTCCCCCCCCCCGCTTCCCCTCATCTTTCTGCTAAAGCTCCCTCCATGTCAAAATAAATTTCTTTATAAGCTGCTCCCACTCTTAGGCTGAAGGAGGCATGCCAATTTCAGCGGTTGTGGCGATCATACAGGGTCCCCGGACGTTTCACTTTCTATTGATCCCTGTGCCACCACTTTATTTCTCGCTGCCACCACCAAGGCCCTACCTGGTACAATACTGAGTCCAGTCAGGGTTAAACTGGAACATAAACTTCTGTTTATTGATTGCAGTTTAACAAGCTTGTGGTTTCATAAACGGTATCGGTCCATTACAATCATGGGGTGCCTATCCAGACCTATAACTTCCGCTACTGCTCTTACTCACTAAACCACCTCTCAGATATTTACAGTGGTACCTCGGGTTACATACGCTTGGGGTTACAGACACTTCAGGTTACCGACTCCGCTAACCCAGAAATAGTACCTCGGGTTAAGAACTTTGCTTCAGGATGAGAACAGAAATCGTGTGGTGGCAGCGGGAGGCCCCATTAGCTAAAGTGGTGCTTCAGGTTAAGAACAGTTTCAGGTTAAGAACGGACCTCCAGAACAAATTAAGTACGTAACCAGAGGTACCACTGTACTTGTCTTCCTAGCTCCTAACTGCTCCTGACTCAGCTTATTTCACTACACTAACTCAACCTACCCTCAGACTCTATCCCAATTCACTCCCACTCCAACCAACCACCCAACTCCCAACAAACTCCCCCCTTTGCCCCTTCCAGAGCTGGTTTTATAGTCCCTCTGACTCCACCCCCCTGGGTTCTGATTGGGTAACCTGTTTAACTATTTCACCTCCAGCACTCTCATATGTTAACATCACAGCGGTTTCATAGAATCGCAGAGTTGGAAGGGACCCCCAAGGTCATCCAGCTCAAACCCCTGCAATGCAGGAATCTCAGTTAACGCATCCGTGAGAGATGCCCATCCAACCTCTGAGGAAGGGGAGTCCACAACTTCCAGTCCATTTCACCTATTTGCCTGGTCAGGAAGGGATAAGTGGGCAGATAAACGAATTCAGATTTTCACCAGAAATTAGTAACAGGATAAATTTTTGTGAATGGATTTGTTCTTCTGAGATACACCCTCAACCAACCCCCCAAAGATGGGAATGTAATGATTATTCCTCGATTCCTTTTTGATTGACGCCTGAATTCGTTGTTTGCGATACCGTATAGATCGGGGGTCGGCAACCTGCGGCTCCAGAGCCGCATGCGGCTCTTTAAAGCCTTTGCTGCGGCTCCGGGGCGGTGGCGAGGGGAGGAGGCGAGGGGCGGAGGCGAGGGGCGGAGGTGACCAGCCTGCCGCCCGGCGGGCGGGGCGCCGTAAAGCAGAGCGCCCCCCTCGCCAGGCAGACATCCGCAGCGTGGGGAGCCTTGCCGGACTTCCCGGCAAGGCTCCCGACGCTGCGGATAGCAGCCTGCCGCCCGGTGGGCGGGGCGCCCTAAAGCAGAGCGCCCCCCTCGCCAGGCAGACATCCGCAGCGTGGGGAGCCTTGCCGGAGGTCCCGGCAAGGCTCCCCACGCTGCGGATAGCAGCCTGCCGCCCGCGGGCGGGGCGCCGTAAAGAAGAGCGCCCCCCTCGCCAGGCAGACATCCGCAGCGTGGGGAGCCTTGCCGGAGGTCCCGGCAAGGCTCCCCACGCTGCGGATAGCAGCCTGCCGCCCGGCGGCGGGGCGCCGTAAAGAAGAGCGCCCCCCTCGCCCGGCAGACATCCGCAGCGTGGGGAGCCTTGCCGGAGGTCCCGGGCAAGGCTCCCCGCTGCGGATAGCAGCCTGCCGCCCCGGTGGGCGGGGCGCCGTAAAGAAGAGCGCCCCCCTCGCCAGGCAGACATCCGCAGCGTGGGAGCCTTGCCGGAGGTCCCGGCAAGGCTTCCCACGCTGCGGATAGCAGCCTGCTGCCCGGCGGGCGGGGCGCCCTAAAGCAGAGCGCCCCCCTCGCCAGGCAGACATCCGCAGCGTGGGGAGCCTTGCCGGAGTCCCGGCAAGGCTTCCTACCCTGCGGATAGCAGCCTGCTGCCCGGCGGCGGCGGGCGCCCTAAAGCAGAGCGCCCCCCTTGCCAGGCAGACATCCGCAGCGTGGGGAGCCTTGCCGGACTTCCCGGCAAGGCTCCCCACGCTGCGGATGTCTGCCTGGCGAGGGGGGCGCTCTTCTTTACGCGCCCCGCCCGCCCGGGCGGCAGGCTGCTATCCGCAGCGTGGGGAGCCTTGCCGGACCTCCGCAAGGCTCCCCACGCTGCGGATGTCTGCCTGGCGAGGGGGCGCTCTGCTTTAGGGCGCCCCGCCCACCGGGCGGCAGGCTGCTATCCGCAGCGTCGGGAGCCTTGCCGGGAAGTCCGGCAAGGCTCCCCACGCTGCGGATGTCTGCCTGGCGAGGGGGGCGCTCTGCTTTACGGCGCCCCGCCCGCCGGGCGGCAGGCTGGTCACCTCCGCCCCTCGCCTCCGCCCCTCGCCTCCTCCCCTCGCCACCGCCCCGGAGCCGCAGCAAAGGCTTTAAAGAGCCGCATGCGGCTCTGGAGCCGCAGGTTGCCGACCCCCGATCTA